CAGTTGGGCCCACTAGATAGAGCTAATCCCTATCTCCGGACCTCTTGGATATTATCCATCGTCTAGTAAATATAAAACGTAAAAACGACGTTTCGGAGATGGGACTCTATCTCCGTCTTCAGGTTCCTACTCAGTTGGGCCCACTAGATAGAGCTAATCCCTATCTCCGGAGGAAGATGACATGGGCGAGACATTTAAATGCTTAAGCAATTTTGTACGGAAAACGCGTAGGGACGAGACCACTTGGTTGAACTGGAAGTGGATGGATTGCCTTTGGTAGGGATTAAAAGGCGGGTTTCAGTTCCTTGAGCAGCCGAGCAGATGTCCTCACCTTATTCACCATGAACGTCGTCTTCCCCTGCATCGCGTCGTCCACTCGTTTCACGAGGTCCTTGGTCGTCTCCCTGTCAGGGATCGTGACGCTGGACTCACTGCTCTTTCGCTGAACCACGGTCGTTCCCTTGTTCACTGCAACAAACCATACACCACTTAACACCGCCGCTGGACGTTATCCTGAGCCGGGCCCGTCGACCTCCCATCCTTACAATCTGTTTCCCTGAGAGCCATCTTCATCTCATCCTGTTTTGGTTTATCCAAATGGTCGCTTTCGAAGAAATGTTGCCATTAATTTGGATTTTTATTTATCTCCCCCCCGAAATGCGTGACCCGCCCAACATAAGTCCCTTGATTTCGCTACCCAAATAATACAGGGTGATCAGTTCAAATGACGAAACCGATTCCCCACGTTTTTTGCGTACATGCATCCTCCTGGAAGCTTCAATTTCAAAGAATTTAACTCAGCCCTCTGTGATTTAAAGCGTTTCCATTTGGAGCCTTTCTTCGAAGTTTCGAAGTCTGTTTGAGCTGACGTGGACCAAAGGTAAAAACGCCTAACCACTTTAACTTAGACCACAAACGTCAAACCGTATCAAAACGAGTTCAGTACTTTAGAGCGACAAAACTTGAGAACTGACCGCACGCAGGAGCCTTACGTTTGGCGACGAACTTGTCGATTTCTATGACGTAAAGCCTCTTCTCGTTAAGAGGGATCTCTTGCCCGAACCAGTCCACTTTCGGGCCCAGGAATACTCTCACGGCCGCCGTGGCAGCACTGTCGCTGTTGACTTTGATGCTGACGGTAAAGGGGCTGTGGTTGAGGCGACGCACGCGGGCTTTGATCTCCACGTCTTTCAACTCCTGGGTGTCGTCCAGGGCGTTGAGCAGGTCGATGTCAAAATCCTCCAAGTAAGTGGTCAACTCGTCCACACTAACTTCCTCAATCGTCACGCCGGGGAAATTCAGCTGAAACAGGTAGACGTCGTTACCATGGATACAGCGAGGATTCTTAAGTCATGCAATCGTTAAGTTCAACCCAAGGAGACCCCCAGTAAGACGGGAAAGTTTAATAAAAATAGGGGGAAGGGATACGAGGAATAAGCAACAGATCAGGACTGCGTAGTTTCCTCACCTCGTCACGCGTGTATGGAGGCAGCAGGTCCTTATGCATCTTGAATAGGTTGTCGATGTATTTGTGCAGCCTGAAGAAGGCAGGATCCCGGGTCGCCGTCTCGAAGTGCTCCATGACCCCGGGCTGCATCTGTAACACGTGTCCTGCGCCTTACACGTGATTCATGGCTTGTTTTACGACACCGTTCCAACTGTGCGTTTGGAACAAACTTCTGCAAGGTGTATTTTATTCGGTTGTCGGCGTATTCTGCTCGTGGGTGTCACTAAATAGTTTGACGCAGGAAAATATTTTGTTTTGCAAGGGAATTCTTTTTTTCGGGAAATGGCTTTGTACTCACGTTGAACTTTCCCTTGGGATCTGTAATCTGACCCAGCATGATGTGACCGTAATTGTGCAGAGCTCCGTAGTACTCCGGGTGCTTGGAGTCATACGATGGTTCCACGATGCTGCCCAGGGTGTTGATGCCATTTGTGTCGTTTAGGTACACGTATTCGCCAGTCTTCTGCATTCGAAAAGAGAATACACACGTTGAACGATGCCTAATCTTTTTGCCCACGTGTATTGAATTATTCAGTACGTTTGTCACGCAGATCCAAAGCGTCTTTCCGCTGTATTTGAATTTCTGAAAGTTCTCTTACCGTAATGACAGCCTGTTGGGAGATTGCCTCTCGGATTCTGCGCGTGTAGTCGACCATATCCTTGACCTTAATGTTCTCCAGGTCCTGGAATTCAAAGTTGTCGGGTCTGGATGGGAATTCGCCTCCCACCCGGTACGTGGTCTGCGGGTAGAAACCGTCCACGATCTTATCCTCCCAATACAGCGGCTCCACAAACGGAAGGTCATTCGATAAGCGCTCCAGGTCGAACCTGGCGATCAGCTGGTGATGCATGTGATAGAACAGCTCCCCCTGCCGGTCCTTAGGCACGCCGTACTCGTCCTGCTTCCACCAGAACGGGAAGTCCATGTGCCAGTGGCTGTGATGAGAGTTCATACCCACGTCTTCTCCGAGGTAGGCCACCCGCTGCTCCGGGTTCCTGATCGTTCCTGCAACGGAGTTACCGCTGTCACAGGTAGCTCACTGCGTTCTGTTCCATTAAACTTTAGACAATACGAAGCAGATGTATCTGTCAGAATACAGGTCACGTTCATTCGAGTGCCTTTGGTGTTAACATTTCATAAGTTTTCGCAAAATCTACGATCGCACCGTCCTCATCAACTGATTTCTCAAGGAAGTCTGTTAATATTTTCCGCCCATCTTCGCCTTTCCTCCACACGTCTCCTGAACAAATAACCCCTTAACCATTTAAACTTCTCAAGGAAGTCTGTTAATATTTTCCTCCCATCTTCGCCTTTCCTCCACAGGTCTCCTGAACAAATAACCCCTTAACCCTTTAAACCCAAATGGTAACTATATATACCACCTCCTTTAACAGTCAGTAATTGTGTATTTAGTATTTACGAGGCTTGAATGATTCTCAGAATAAACAGCGATTATTTCCTTAAACAGCGTTAACCAG